GAAACTGTTTACCATCAAATATACAAACCTTCAGAAAGGTTTAACATCTCCAGAGAAACAGAAACTCCAGAGAAGCCACAAAGAAGTGAGTGAAATGACCCAGCAGCGTCAGAAGAAGGAGAAAAAAGAAGAAGAAGAGAACAAGTGGTTTATTTGGGACACCGGATCAAACTGCGAACACAAAGAGCTGTCTTATTGGATATAAGATGTAGGCTGAAGACAGCAAGCTGACTGAGAAGAACCACTTGGCAGTTTGTGTCCTCTGGTGAGTTTTTACTGCTGCACCTCCGGGATCTAAAGGCTTACTGCAGTTTGAAGTGATAATGTGTGTTTAACAGTGAGAATACACTCGGGTATAAACACACAAAAACACATTTCTGCATGAACCTCAGAGAGGATGGAAAAGCTTCCAAAGTGACATAAAAATAAAAGTAAGGACAAGTGAGGTAAGATGGCAACACAGGAGACCTGTCACATCTGGCAAAAACGGCAGAAAAATAGGAATGACAAGAAGGTGTAAATACATCAATGCAAATAATAGTGTAAACAAAGCCTTCTACCACAGCTTACACATTGCAGAGTGAATTTAATCACAATTATCACTATACAGTAGGAGATAATGTAAAATAATTCATCCAGTCTGAACCTGGACCTGAGCTGGGCTTTTACTTTTCTGGCCAGGTCCAGGTGGAACAAACAGAAGAACAGCAGCTCAGCTGGAGACACAGCGCTGGTTTAGACAATGAAGCGGTGCTCCTTGCCGTCATGGGCCATCAGGATGACGTTGCGGTTGGTGGTCCAGATGAGGCGGGCGAGTTTCAAGTGATTCTGGGAGCCAGGGGATGCTGGCTGCACTGGAGGAACCTGGTAGGTCTTAATGCAGCGGAGCTGAGGGGCTGAGTTCAGCATCCCGATGCTCCCCAGCAGACTGGTGTTCATCTGAGGACGACAAGCAACACATGCTGCAGATAACACTTCCATACATTACGTCAGTCAGTACTCAAATCAATGTTTCTTCTGGTTAAAGAGTTTATTATATAACCTGGAAAAGGTTAAAACTATTAAGCAGGCTCATCAGCAGTTACTAGAGCCCAAATGTTATATTCAAACTTTATAAAAAGCAGCAAATTCTCACACTGGACAAACTGGAGCCAGCATATATTCAAATACCTACTGTTTTGTTTAGAACTGTGGGACCACAGTATTCTGAGTTTGCTACAGCAGCATAAACCTGTCCAGCCCATTTTTTAGAGTTCTGACATACATCAGAGCCTGAGATAAAGATAAGTGAATACATTTTTAAGGATAGAGTATAAATAGTTTTAATCACTCTCATTTCCTGAGCTGTACTGTCAATCCTTGTAGTGAAAAATTTGTTACTGATCATTTCGGAAGAAGACCCCCCCATCATCACAAGTTCCTGTTAGCGATGAAACTGCTGAATCCTCTGAGGAAACGCTTTAACCTGTGAGGCTTCTGTTGCTGCGTCCTGTGAAGAAGCCAGAGCCTGAAACTGGACACAGCTAGCGCGCGGGCACGTCTGTGTGTGTGTGTGTGTGTGTGTAGGAAAAACGCAGTGAGCAGAAACTCTATCGTTTCCTGAGACAACACTGCCCATCCCTAACACACACATACATGCACAGGCACACACCGACAGAGCGTCTGCCAGCTCATTACCGCAGCAGCCGTCTTGTCGGCTCACTGTCAGCGGTTTATGCTTACAGTAATGCCATTAGTGTGTGTGTGTGTCTGCAGACAGTCGTGTCAGAGGTCGTAAAGACCTTTCATTCAAAATAACAGTTCTGGGAAGAACATAAGAAGTACATCTGTGCAGATTTGTTTATTATTAATGTGAGATTGGTCGCCTGACTTTGTATTGTTGTTTATTTCAATGCATGTGCTGTGTATGTGGACTTGCCCTTTGAATTTATTTATAAAAAATATTTTTTAAAAATCTGTGGAAAAGAGTGTAAAAATACAAGTCTGAAATATGTTTTCATGTATGTTTTCAGATTACAGGATTCTCATTATGCATGTGACACTCTGGAAATATTTACGTTTGTAAAAATATACTGTATCTGTAGTTGGTGAGTAAAGGCTTAACTTTTGCATGACAGCTCATAAAAATTAAAGTTAGATTAAATCTTAATAGAAATGTATTTGTACTGCAGTGAGTGTCTGAACTACACAGAACAATAGTTACTGATATTAAAGTAACACTGTGCTTGGTTGATGTAGCTGTGACAAATAAATGTTTCTGTGGCTGAAAGAGCTGCAGACCAGCTGAAAGACAAAGGTTAGGGGAAGGATTAGGATTAGGATTAGTAGTGGTTATGGCTAAGGGTAGGGTAATTCTCCAGTAAATGAAGTCCCCATGAGGAACAAAAACAAATGTGTGTGTCATTTACCTGCCAGAAAGAGATGTGGCTGTCAGCGTTGGAGTAGGTTGCCAGGTAACGGCCATCGGGGGCGAACGACACCGCTGTGATCGGACCCTTGTGGCCGTGGATGTTCTAGAGGCAAAGGCATGGACAACGATTAAAATGAAGAAAAAAAAGAAAAAGGTGAAACGAAGTGTTAAAACCCAATGAAGGGACTTTGTGCCGGAGCTGAATTGGCTGTTTTGGATTTCACAAACACTGCTGTAATCAGCGAATGGTCACATTAGTGTTTGTAAAAATCAGGCTTTTGGGCGAAGAAAAAAACCCACAAAGAGGAAAAAATAAAGAAGACTGGAAGCCCCCTGCCTGCCCCCCATTTAAAATACTTGCTAAATAAGAAAGTTATGCAGATTATTCTTTATTAATAACAGCTTTTAAAGCTATTTGTAAAAATATAAGAATGCAAACAGATGATCTGAGAACAACTTGTGCTGTTGTGTCATGAAAATGTCATGGGGACTGAGGTGTTTTACATAATGCAAATGAATCATGAATTTCAACAGTGACTGAAAGGCCTCATGGGAAATTCAGCACCGATACAGTAAATGGACAGACAAATGTTTCCCTGTGTGGCTTCATCAGTCACAAATCAGGCTGATATCTGAAAATATTAGCGATTTACAAGACATTAAATTCGTGATAAAGTACTATCAGGTATGTCCTGTAGGGACATAACAGGATAATAATATGGGGGAAGAAATAAAAAAGGT